ATCTGAGTGACTCCCTCTGGAAACCAGGAAGTCAAGGTGCTTTAACTTATGGCATTATAACTGCCGTGTCATTAAAAGATCTTAAAATGGTAGCAGGAGAGAGAGAGAGAGAGAGAGAGGTGTACACAGATAATTAGTAAGAGTAAGAAAGGATGAGATAAAAGCACAAAATGAAATATGGGCATGACTTTTGACATTTGATAGAGTAATACTTTTGGACTGTTCACAGAACAACTCCCACTTCTTGGAAGCTATAAATTCACAAATATAAGTTATAGCATGTAATCCTATGTGTATAAAATATATCACAGCATGCGATGAGATACGGCCTTCTGGGTATGAAAGTAATTTATGTAATGTTTAGGAATATCTATTCCAAAAATGCATCCAAGACTGCTTTGAAAGGCGCAAAAAAGATTGTTTCTCTAAATTCCTATAGATCAAAAACTTCACTTCCAATTTGATTCCACCAATTCCACTTAGAGATGGCAAGTGTTTTGTAAACAACAGTGAGCAGATAGAAATGGCATGGCCTTAAACAGAGAACTTGTTGCTAAAAACACGCTATGGTGAGGAATGTCAACAGTGAACATTTCAAAGCGGGGAATAATTGCTTCAAGTTGACTATAATTGGTTGGTCTTTAATCTGTCCTCCCCCTGCTGCTCCCAATTTACAGTTATCAATTAAACACAGTTGTTCGTTTTGATGGTGCTCTTCCTGTAAATACTACACGGTACAGAACGGTGATCCAGGAAAAACCTTGTTTCTTGTTCTTTCACCTCATCTCCCACTTTTGCTCATGATAATAAGCACTGTAGGGATCTTTTTCTTACCACTTTGAAAAAGTCTGAGCTTAGTGCAGAAACTTCATTGACCTTTGCACAAGCTGCTTTCATTTTAGGGCTGTTGAAGCACTTACTGTGCTGTCAACAGTGAAGTGTTGACAACATATGTCGGCCTATTCATCTTTTTTTCTTTTTATATTTTAATCAATGGATAGTACCACATGGAATAAAAGCATTTATAGGGGGTGGACAAAATAACAGAAACTCCCTACAGTATTTTGCAGTGCACCAGGTGCTTCAGTAATTCTATTTATTTATGGTCTATCTGGTCACTTTGTACCTCTATACGGCAAATGTGACCTTGATGACTCAGTAAAAAGACCTGATTATTAGACCTCTAGTACGGCTGTATATAGTTCACAAAGTAGTTACACAAAGACGTTAAAGGGTAAGGTTAAAAAATAAGCCTCAAAGCTAGGATGACATAATGCTAAACACAGTAAATCTGCATTAGCATTACCAGTGTTCATCAGTAGATGGTTTAGAAAACCCTTCCTAACTGTATTTATTACAGATGTATTACCTTTATTACATTTTAATCTAAAGTGCGTCAGCTATGGCATTTGTCCACTACCTGGATATGAGTCTGTAGCTTTGCTGGCATCTCTGTGAGGGTGTACTTTAGCACAGTAGTGCTTTAAGCTAAATGCTAACAACATGCTAACATAAATTATAATGCTAAAATTAGAATATATCGTCTGGGAACCATTAAAGTCTGTACAAAAGTTGCTACCAATCCACCTAGTAGATGTTTGAAATATATCAGTTAATACATAAAAGTGAAACCTTTGACTGGCTGGTGGCGCAACAGGAAAAGTCAGAGGATCACCAAAGACATAATAATTTATTCTCAAGGGACCTTGAATATCTGTAACAAATTCCATGGAAATCCATACAATGATCCAATGGTTGTTGAAATGTTTAAAGGGTAACTTTGGCATTTTTCAACCTGGGCCCTATTTTCCCATGTTTTCGTGTCTATGTGACTAATTGGTGACAACATTTCTTTGAATTGGTCCAGTACTGAGAGAGGGAGCAGCAGCAAAATAGGGCTGCAACATACCTTGTGGGGAATTGCGCACCATAAAAAAGTATGTCCACTAAAGTGCTTGTTTTTGCCACTGACAGGCTCTGATTGTTGTTATAAACATCTGACAACATTATGAAAAGGGTCCCTACAGAGATAGACCTAGAGAGTTAGATTTACCTTTTTGTTTAACCAGAAACAGTCGCTATGTTGTTCTGTTCAAAGCCACCAGACTCCCTTGACAAAACCAGTAATTTTAGCTTGCAGCATATAGGACTTTGTGGTCTACTGGTACCTCGATTGGTCAGTTTGTGTTATTATTTGACTTTGGTGTTTTTATTTGCTTGTGTTTTGTGTAATTTTGGTGCTTTAAATGGTTAAAAACACCAAAGTCACACAATAACACAAACAAACTAACCGATCGAGCCGCCAGTAGACCACAGAGGTAAAATGACATATTGTCAGTGGAGTCTCGTGGCTTTGATCAGCTGTTTCTGGTTAGACAAAGAGCATCTTACTCTTTAAAAATGTCTGTCTCTGTAGGGATCCATTTTCAAAGAGAAATAACATTTCATAACCCCATAAGAACTCTGAAGTTTGAGAAACAATAATTTTAATCACACAAAAATACAGCATGAAACCTTTGTTTAGATTTTCACTTCGTCATTCAGATTATAAATGAGCATGTATGTTCTGTGTTGAATGAAACATAACATCAATGTTAATTTAATTTCTGAAACAAACAACAAGGAAATGGATATTTTAAAAATGAAGAATGAATATCCCCAATGAGCCTGTCATTACCTACTTTTTGGCACCTGTGTGTTTGCTTACAGGAGGAACAGATGGCATAGGCACCTCTGAACAAGTGACCTCACACCCTTTCCCACTGATGGGGTGATAGAGGCATACAAGCTTTCCCCTGGGCCAAAAACGCATGTCTCTAAGGAGCTATGTTCAGGTCTGGAAGCCCTCCGAGCCAGGTGTGAGGGGCCCAGAGAGGGGCCTCACCCCAGCCAGGCAGACCCCAAAAAAAATCTCCACATCACTGAGGGAGCACTAACTGGTCACAGACACCTCCAGGGCTTTGAGAAGACGGAATGAAAAAGTGAGGAAAAAGAAAAAAGTGAGATGGTGTAGATTGCTGAGAGGACTGCAGGAACAACCATTTACAATGGCTGCAATGTTCCAGAGAGCTGGGAACCTGTTCTTGTAAAATGCATACAGACTGGTGTGCACGTGTGCCCTTTTCATCTACAAAAGACCCATAAGATTGATTTTTATTCATGAAAGAGAGCAAGATTGTTTTGTCGGGAGGTTTTTAATGCACACCAGACAGATGGGTTCAAGGCTGCATTCCAACTTCTTTTTTTCTTTTACTGGCCTCAACTTGAAAGACGTTACAGCAAAAAAAAAAAAAAAAAATCACATTAGATGTGATCAGTGTTTGATACCAAAGCAACTGCTGTTGTTGGTTCTCTCTCTCTCTCTGCATGTGTGAACATTTCAGGCATCTAATTTACTCCCCTCCTGGGAATCCTTATGACATAGCTCCTCTTGGAAGTCATCACCAGTAAAGCAGCCGGATCTGTATACATTTTTGACCTGTGCATCTGCACTCCAGCACATACTCGACTTGTGTTCTCCAACACATGGCTCACGAGGGAGGGTGATCTGCTACACTCCACATTTCCTCAGCTAGTCAGGAGAAATTAGGTCAGTGGAGAGGTTTTTGGTAGAGTGGTAGTTTGGTTTAGTTTGTCATGTTGATGTAACAATACATGAGGGGAAACTGTAGAGTCTGAAGAGATGAAGCGATACATTTGCACATGAAAGAATAAAGAGAGTTCCACAGACACGCACTGACAGATGTTTTATCAGAATTCTCAGGGAGGTAAAGGGAAAAAAAGCACAATAAGGAGGAGTGAAAAGATGTGAGAAGTGGTATCATCATTCACAGCACAATGACACTAACAACTCTTACATGTGGTCAACTCTGAAGTTTCCAAAAGCCTGTCGTTCTCATCCACTGCCTTGTTTTCGCCATTTACCCCATCTGATATATCTGTCTGAGTCAGAGATGAAGCATCAAACATTAAAGACTGAAACCTGCAGAGGTAGTCCTGGCAGGGGTTGTGTTGATGTTTATAACTTGCCCGGGAAGGCAACATCAGTACTTTGTCACAGACATCTGCCCTTTGCTCTGTGGTTTTTTTTCCAATAACAGAAAATGTCAACAATGAGTTGGAAAATTAGAGCAGCGTCTAATTGAATAAACACGAGAGGGGTAACATCTGATTGAAATGTGCGTCCAAATGATGAGGGTCAAGTACAATGTGGCTCCTTTTAGCAAGGCTTAATGAAGAAATAACAAAAGGGATGTCTGGACTATGCAGCTGCAGTCTTAGGGGAAACTTTTTATCGCAAATGTTGTATCCATGTTCGCGCGCTTGTGTCTACATTTATATTATGTAGTGAAAACCAAATGAACTAATGAAGCCCTGACTTACTGGTTCAAGTAAATTAACAAAGTAAGAGCAACACATTTTCACAGAAAGATGAAGGAACACATCAGGAAAAATAAAAAATGAGAGAAAGAGAGAGATGGAGGAAATTAGTTTTATGATCTGCAATATCCTGCCAGAACTTTTATTGGCCAGTTAAGCATGTGTGACCTGCCCCCTCGCAGCAGGCTGTTAAATGGTTGTGACCTTCCAGCGAGTGCTATGAATCCCTTGGCCCTCTAGTATCCCCAAACATGCTGCCCTGGCCCCTGCCCCTCCCTGACCTGAACACATATGATCTTTCACCTTACCGACACGAGACAGATAAATTAACCCGCTGCGAAACTTGGCCTAACTTCCACATTATCTGCGGCACACATTTTGGGTTTGTTTATATGCCTTAAGTGTGCGAGTGTGAGAAGGTCATCGAGCAGAATCATCAATTTACATGGTATATGTAAACGCATGTGGCTCTGGATAGGTTTATGGAAAGAAAAATGTTACCGGATTGATTAATAACATCCTCGATTAGCCTGTGTTGTAAATTGCTGTGTGACAAAATAGAGAGAAACTTTGCTGTGAGGTTGTTGGTGAAAAGCCGAACTGTTGTGCAGTGGACGTACCCCTGAGGATGTAATTCTGGTAGTTCTGGTCAGCTTCAGCTCCCACTTTAATCAAACACGTGAGTCCTTCTGCCACCACAAACTCGTGCACTAGGTCCTTGTCATCCTGGAAAGAAGTCAAGGAGAAAGAGGAAAATATAAAGCCATCATACATCACAGACGCAGGCAGAGATTGTATTATTTTTGTTGTTTTTAATGTGATGGATTTAGTTCGCCCTTCCACTACATAACTGTCCTCAGAGTTACATAAACCTTTGAGTGCTTGAATGTTGGTTGGAGATCATAGACTAAGAAAGAAAGGGCATGCCAAGAAATAATGATCTGGAACCTGTTTCATATCTCACATAGCCCCCCAAAAATTGTCAGGAACTGCTGAGATGATTTATGCCGACCTTAATGTTCACAAATTATACATACAGTATGTCTTATGCACACAGTGGATAAATTGCTAGTCATGCTTAAAGCAACAAATGTGATGCAACAAGACAAACATTTCTACTGCTTTTACTTGAACATTGGTAAACACACCTTTTACTGTATTTTTAAGGAGTCCAACAGGTACTCAAGACTTCTTTTTGTGATGTACTATAGCACATTTCAAAGCCTACAAAATCCTCAGCTGAACAAATATCATCAATCAACTTTTTTTTTTTTTTTACATTTAGTTATAGCTACTGCAAGTGCAACGAGCAATGCCTTTAGCTTGCAGTGCGTTCATATGGGTTCCTGTTTCTTCCCACATTTTGTCCTAATTGACAAAACCACCTGCACCATTCACACCTGTCGATGACTCTGTAATTTAAGACTCATACATGTACAACACTCCTGCAATGTAGAGAAACAAGACTGATATCAGGTCCGGTGGACATTCTACTACACAACAAGATTTTTTTAATTATTCTCTACAACAATAGCACTCATAGTCTAATAATAATAATACGTTTTATTTATAGGCCCCTTTCAAAACACTCAAGGTCACTGTACAACACAGAATGAAATAACAGCAAAGCAATAAATCAATTAATGAAAAAAAACTAAATTACAGTGCATAAAATCAGTAAGGCTACGTAGGGCTGTCGCGATAACCGCAAAATATATAAATTCTATGTATGTATATAAATTGACTTGATATACGTGCCCTGAAGGTAATGATACAGCTACGTGTGGAAAAAAACATGGTCAAACTACAAAAAGGAGTTTGCTTTGCAATGTTGTTGACTAGCACCGAGTAGCTAGCTTGCCCGTTAGCGGCTCGCTGTGCAGTGAGGAGACAGGTGACTTACTATACTATATGGCACCAAATTACGTCACTGATGAAAGATGCGATAATACCGCATATCGCATATTACCGCGGTGGAAATTCACCGCGACAGCCCTAAGGCTACGTAGTCAATTACAAACAAAAGACTGCTGTGACCAGACGAACATGTTGGATATGCCAGTTGAAAAAGATGTGTTTTTAGGCGAGATTTGTAAAATGGAGAGCGGGTCAGTGTTACAGTTGTCTGGTGAACGGGAGTTCAGAGAGGAGGGGCAGGGCGGCTAAAGGCTCTAAACCCTATAATGGTCAAAAAGGCAGGAGGTGCAGTGAGGTGAATGGAAGAAGAAGAGTACAGGTGGGTATGTTGATATGAAGGAGGTCAGTGAGGTACAGAGTAGCAAGGTTGTGAACGGCCTTGAAGGCGAGTAGCAGAATCTTAAAATCCCAGCGTTATTTCACTGGGAGCCAATGAAGCTGCTGAAGGACATGAGTGATATGATTAATAGAAGGGGTTCTAGTGATGATATGAGCAACAGGGTTCTGAACCAGTTGACGTTTATGTAGGAATTTGAGAGGAAGACCAAAGAGAAGAGAATTACAATAATCAATGCAGGATGTAACCAGGGTGTGAACGAGAATGGTTGTGTGTGTAAAAGGTGAGGTATTGTAATCTATTCTGAGCATGCATCAACGTCTGCTGCTCTCTTTTCCATCTGACTGTCGGTTAACCCTCCCCCTCTATGGCCGACTGCCCGCCAGGCCAGCCCAGCCCCAGTGTGTGAAGTATGACCAAACCTGAACACTCCACAGCTGCCACGAAGGCAGACTCTCAGCAGCACAGCTCTGCCTCAAGAAAACAATGCTGTGTCCAAGTGCACGCTACATATAGTTTGTTCAAGTATAACTTGTACACGCACAGGAACATTCAAAGCACCAGAGCGTGGCAGAAGATACTTCACATGCTCACAAATGCAGCAGTTTTATTTTTACTGATGACATCGTGAAAAACATGCAATGCAGTGGAATTCACTGGGTTTTGTGACAAGATATATTCTTAAGGGTGCAGTTAAAGCTAAAAGAGGGAGATAATTACCTGAAAAATCTGCTTGAGGGAAAAGAGGGCTCTCCGGAGCTCCCGGCCAGTTGAGTTGTAGAGTTTTTCTGTGCAGGGAGAGACAAGGAGACAGTGGGAAAATCAGCTGACAGTCTCACATGTGGTCTCTTTCTATGATGTTGTCATGTAAAAACTGAAACAAACACACGGATAAGAGATTCAGAATCATTGGGACTGCGTGATCACTGAAATAAAGCACCTGTCTACTAGTGTTTTAGTGTATCACTTCATGACATCACTTGACGTCACACATGATGTTTCCACGATGAACTATATATGTCTCCTTCATAATCACTTCCTTGTGTCTATGTCATGCACCTATCATTGCCAGCAATTATCCCAAGTAGCTGTATGTGAAAAATATACTGCAAGAGGAATAGTGAGAGCAAAAAAACAGTAGGAGCTACTCAGAGCACATCTGTGGAGAGTTAGTGAACAGTGGATGTTTCCTGCTGACAAAGCCATATCTGCAGCTTACCATAATACGAAGGCAAGGCAGAAACTCACGTTGCTCACCACCGCAATGGCTAAGAAACAATACGACCGTTAATCAGTTATGGGGACACTACAGAGCACTAAAAGAGACATGTGACGGATGACAAATGCTTGTGATAGAGGTGAATATTTTCTACTAATTTGACAATCTGCCAGGGAGTGGCAGCATTGAGCACAGCTCACTCATTACTGCTGAGTGAACTCTCTCTGACTCAGCAAAACTTTCCTGTGACTGCAGCAGATACAGCAACGTACAGTGCGGTGCAGTTTAGCACTCTCACTTTCTGCATCTCTCTCTCTCAGCATTTTCCTTTTGTCTGTCTGAAAGATCCTTGAAAGATTCACAAACAGGCATGAATACAGTGAGGCAGTTTCTTTCTCTCTCTCTCACACACACACGCACGCATACACACACACACACACACACACACACACACACACACACACACACACACACACCTTACATAAAGCACATTGCAATGTGGTTCTCATCTGTGTGGCACCACTGCAGCTGCTGCAGTTGCAGGATGATTTATCACTGTTGGTGCGCGTGTGTTTAGTTAAAAAACCCAAATATGCAATTAAGAGAAGAAAATGATCAGACACAACATATGTAGATGTTGCTTTCTTACACACACACACACAAATGATGAATGTTGTACCCATGAGCTCCCCGTCTTTACAAACAGCTGCCACTAATTATATTCTAAAGTGTGAGAAACACAATGAGCACAAAAGCTTGGGATTTAGAGCAACAGGCCTTTATTAATTATTGTCCCCTCAGCTGATGAACTGGCAGAGAGAGACAGAGACAGAAACAGGGTGTGTATAGGCACAACCTGCAGTGTCACACAACATTTTCACAACACACATCAGACTTCACATGCAGTGACAGCTAGTATATGGATAACAATCGTGCAACATCATAAAATCCAAACCCTCTGCGAAAAGGACAAAACTATTTCAGTGAGAACATTGTCACAAAATTTGTTGTTAAAAAACTAAATAAATAACAATTAAATTTCTCTCACTGGCCCTTCAATCCATCTTAATAATGTTGAATATGAGTCAAACTTTGGTTTTAATTTCTGAACTACATTCCTGGGTTTAAACTTGGTGCCGGGTAAGGCTGTCCACAGTATTGTAAATCACACTTCATATTATATTTGCTGTAATCCAAAAAGATGCATAGTACACACAGCTATATGTGGTTAAAAGGCTCCAATTTGATGAGGTTGCACACTGAATTCAAACACCTCACAATCCAGTTCCAGCAGAGTTCCTTATCTTTAGAGGATGCCTTGTTTCTGATTTATGACTGAATGGTATTTGGACTGCGTGGAGTGGAGCTTTGAATGTTTTGTGCATTCAGTGCCGTACATGGTTCAGATGCGTGATGAGTGTTGGTCTTTTACGGCCAGTCACTGGCAACAACATCCACAAGGAATAAATCTCTGCAAGTCCAGAGGTATTAAGAGGGGAAGCTGTGCGATGTTGGTGATTTGTGTCTTTATAAATAACAGGAAGGAACTGTGACTGGGCCTCTTGAGTTCGCCCCCCTCAGCTGTGGAACTCTTATTCTGAGCATCTCAGGGTTGCCAAGTCAGCATCATGTTTTAAATCCTCTCAAAACGAACACATTTTTGTAGGCATTTCTTTCTTGTCCCTTCTTTACTCCTTTTTAAAACTTGGAACTTGTGGTAAAGCACTTTATGACTCTACTGATAAAAGTGATATCAGAATAAATAATAGTAATCAATTAATAGGCCTATTTAATGGCTGTAACATGCAGAAAAAACCCTATATACTTCTATGGCTCCAGTGCTTTAATGCAGAACTTGGATTGCTTTTCAATGTATCTCAAATAAATCACTGTGACATTTTTATATACTTGATCCATATTTATATATTTAGTCTGAAGCCCATCACCATGATCCAAATGGACAAAAGAAGAGCTTGTTACTTTGTCAGCTGATTCTGCATCAAGTAAAATGGAGCTTAAGCTACTTCACCCTCCCCTGCAGGTCAAGGTAGGGCCACATCCACCGCCCCATAGCTCAGGTTTACATTAGGGATCTCTAAACAGACAACTCTCTGCTCACTGGAGCAGAAGACAGAGGGAAATGCTCTGAGTTACCCATCACACCTTCATCATAAAAAAAATAAAATAAAAACTTGATTTGTTGTCCTACTTTAACCCAAGTCTTAAGTCAGTGTGCTCTTCTCCTAAAAGTCTTAGCTGCACTTCCTCACGGATATTGAGTGTTAATCAGTCAACAGATAAATTACATCAAGCACTGCTGAACAACCATGATTCTGGTCAGATCACAGCACATCACAACTGCAGTGATGCATCCGCACCTGGGCTGTCACTGGCTATGAATAACTCCCTGGAGCATGTTTCGTGTGTGTGTGTGTGTGTTTGTGTGTATCCATCAGCAACAGCATGGCACAGAAATTCATTCATGCAGAGTTCCACTGCCAATCACACAAAGGCTTGTGCTCCAATATTTTGCCCTGTAGTTTGGACCGCAATAAAACTCTCAGAAAGTTATTCCTGCCCAAAAACTAAATGAAGCCCATCTGCAGGAACAGACAGTTCCTTCCCTGTCCCTGTCTGCAGTCCACACACACCTCCAAGAGGCCCATCTCTAATGAGAAATAGCTCAGTGGAGATTAGTTACATACCTTTTGGCGCAGATATGCACCCAAAAGTATGGGCTTTTCGGCATTTCCCTATTTAGAAAAAGAACTATAGGGACTCGACTATGAGAGTTGGGGTTTGCGAACCCCAACTCTCATAGTCACATTCACCTGAAATCCTGAAACCACCTGAAACGTAACACTCAGTCTCTCACTACATTTGTCATGGATTTGTTGTTGGGCCAAGGCAAAGCCAGGATAGAACAACAAAGGAAGATATGAAGGATAACACATAGTTTGGGCACTGCAAATCAATTCTGACTGGAGCTGAGCAACTAATACAATAAGAACCCAGAACATATTTCAGCAGCCAAGTAGCTATCCACAGCCTGACCTTAAGATAAATATAATATACCTTTTTAATGTCAATAAAAGTTTGACTAAAGAGCCATCTAACCATGTTGGGAATTACTGTAAATACCACAAAAAGGACACCGTTGAAATTAAAACAGTGCATGAGTGCAGCTGAGGACAAGCAGACCGTTTTTTGTTTTTTCTTTACTTTTCCCTTCGGCTTTTACCGACAATAACCTGACAGTGGAATGACTCAACTGAGTGAAAGGGTTTTTTTGATGCCTCATATTGATGTATCATAGGGAGCAGCTGTTTTGTCCTCTTAAATTGCAATACACAGTCACGTTTTCTCAGCTGGAATAGCTATAGGGATGTAATGGTCATAATTATAGCAATCATAAAAGTAGTAGCGGAATTTCTATAATCATCAGGAATGTGCTCAACTACCCAGAGTAGAAGAGTGGAAAAAAATAAAATTGCTGTGGGGCCTGATACATTTAGACAGGCCAGGACTTCATCGATGGTTGTGCTACTGCTGAGAAGACAACTTTTAGAAGCAAACCTGACTTGTGCTGCTTCAGACACCTTCTGATTCTTTGTGTCAGTGCCAGTACATTCCTGTAATGCTGTTTCGTTTGAGTCATAGTTCACTTTTTTATTTATCTCCGCATGCCAATCTCACGCCAGGACCACCACTCACTGCTGGACAGCAAACAAATGATCAAAATTAGTTGGCCAATAAAGCCGGTAACCTCGCTCAATTTCCATAAGCAGACAACATGCTCAGTTACTCGTCTGTTTGCATGCTTTTGTTTCCAGAAAGTGCCATAAAAATGAAGAGAATGACTGCCACTGCTCATGCTTTGCGCAGCAGGCAGAACACATAAACCACATCCAAAGCACAGCCAGGAAAACCACAAAGACCCCACTGGGCAGGACAACCCGGCACACAGTGCAGTAAATTAAACAGTGTTTGCTTTCAGGAGTGCAGCTGTCAGACAAGAAGCCGAAGAGGAAGATCCCAACCACTGTATTGGTAATTGTATGTAAAACGCACAGTCAAATCAACAGCTTTCATGTGGGATGTGGAGATGCTACGGAAGAATACAGTAAGGTATGAAACCACGGTGAAAAGTAATAAGTATGAGTAGAACTTAGAGGGTTGTTACCTTAAATTTTACTCTGGTCTGTTTTTGCTGCATCCTTCTTCATCAGTATCTGTCCACAACAACATGACACTGATTTTGAACTAAAGAAGGTCATCAGTATGCAAGGTCATCATTCTGTCGTGACTACTGTCGAGCCAACCCTGTGTGTGCTGTGTCGCTATTACTTTTGTAACCAGCAAGCTAACATCAGTAAAAACAAAAACATTTAGAGTTTATTTGGAGGAGGTAGGGGATAGAAAAGCTAATATGTGGTATAATATCCCAACACCTGACCTGCTTCGAGCCAAAGTTTTATTTTGGTGATAATTCCCCAATAACCCTGTTTTCCCTCACAACGTCACTTCCGCAAGCATGGAAGCTCAGCTCAGAGTAGAATGGGGAGTGAT